GGGCTATCCAGCTGTATCCTAATAGATACGCCCGGCAAATACGCCCCAAAGAAGCTCCTGTACTTCTCTGGGCGTAGGGCGTTTTGCAGCGCGTTCCTACGCGCTGTAAAATGCCCAGGTGGGAACCATGCCCATAGGCAATCATTGGTTATCACATGTTGAGCGTTTTACAGCGTGTATGAACCAGGCCCTAGCACTCATTCACACTAGAAAAGGCCGGCACGTACAGCTCCGTGCACAGCCGTATCCGGCAGCTTCTGGGAAGGAGAGGTGCTGCATGCGATTAGTACGCAGCCACTGTCCTTCTCTATGGGAATACATGGCCATATGCCGCCCTACGCTCACCCGCCCTGCATGTCTGTGTGGGTGTCCATACTCGTACGCTGACAGGATCCATCCAGTCTGTGTCCAAGCCGGGACACTCGCACCCGTACGGACCTGCACTTGGGGTGAGCATAGGGCGGCGTATGGCAGTGTACTCCCATAGAGAAGGACAGGGGCTGTGTACTAATCACACGCAGCACCTGTCCTTCCCGGGAGCTGAACGATACGGCCATGCGCGCGCACGGAGCTGTACGTGCCGGCCTTGTCTAGTGTGAATGAGGGCTTAATGGTTTGTCTTCAATATTACAGCTTGCATAGTAAATATTCCAACAAGCACAGTGAAACAACAACCACATAAAAATGGGGGGGAAAAAAACACAAGGAGCTCGCTGCGATGTTTACAGCTAATGGCCACTTGTTGCATTGCTTTTTAGGGCTCATTCATCTAATACATCGAGCTGCGATGGTCCGAGTTGAACACAGGCTCTATGCAGTTACACAGAAGATACTATTGCTCGCCAAGTGTCCTGTTTACACCAAAGCACTACATGGGGAAACATTGAGGAAAAAAAACGTAGATTTTTTTTTGCTGCGCACAAAAACACATTACAATGTACTGCTGTGGAGAGAATTGACTAGAACAGGGGAAAAAAAAAGCAAGGGCTGTGATGTGTTGTAACAATTAATCGTAATGCACAGCAACATACATGCGTTATGTGCACCCACTAGTATGAACTAGGAAGAAGTCCACGTATGAGGCTGCATGCGCTGCTTTATGAGCCAGACTCTACGGTAGTTTTTCTGTTTACTCAGCTGTAGTTGTGGTGGGGAAGCATTAACCTTGAATGATGTAAAG